GATCTTTCGCTGTCTATAGCCGGGTACCCATTCTCACCTGGGTTAAGTGAGGAAAATTCGTGTAAAGTGCCTTTCCCAAGGACACAACGTCGGGCCCTTGACGGGATTCGAACCCACGACCTTAAGGTTGCGAGTCCGAGAGCCTAACCACTAGGCCACCGACGCCACAAATCTGTTCCCATGGTTTTATGCACCCTGGATAATTCAGCAAAATTTGATCATTTTTTGCATAATTTCTGATTATTTACCTTCACAATTCTTTGTTAAAATTAACAGAATCGCATAATTTCACATTTTAGGGCTCAGTTTGCATTAATTTCAGACTTTTTCTAGCATAAAATGACGGGGACAGATAAATACAAAAACACAAAGGGGAAGGCCTGAGTTAAATCTTACTGCCCTTTCTACAATATTGCTGTTCCCAAAAAATGATGAACTTCAAATTTTCAAAATCTCAAGCAGGTGTCAGAATGTAAAACTTTTCTTGTTAGCATACAGTTGGACACATAGATAACATGAACATGATGGAAAACAGGAAATCATGGATAGCTCAAGAATACGATTCGCCATTCCCTTACTGATATCCCTTTAATGAATGTTTCATTGTGTCGGTTTACCAAAAGTATGGATGTGTCAAACAAATTTGTCAATCCCCAAGCAACGTGTTCGAGTTATTCGTGCCCAACTCTGAATTCGGCACATTATTCTTTTCTGTAAAGTTCTATTGTTTGACATTGAAAAAAAATTAATTAATCAATCTAATGAGCGTGGAAAATGATAGTATCTTAGTTTGCAAAATATTATAATCCACACAGAATAAAACTTTTGGTCCTTGTCTTCAAAATTATTCACATGGAATGATAGAGGTATTATTGCAAGTAAACGTCCATCTTTCTTAATTTCTTAAATGATTGTTCATTTTCGTTGCTCAATTCAACAAGAGTAAGCAAGGTAAAAGAAATACAGTTCTGATTATTATCACAGTTGTGTTTCATTTCATACATATTATAACAAGACAGTAAAACAAGTTTACTGAGGCTGGAACTACAGTAGCCTTCACCAAATGACATTTAACTTTTTAACCATGTCTGGACGGTGGCAGCGTCCGGTAGTTGAAGTCCGTAACCATGACAGAATGGTACCACCATCCAATAAAAAGTTATTTATTATGGACCAAATATATAAGAAAATGTACGAGCTATAACAAGCCTTTAGTTTGATTTTCGAAGTCAAAGATAAATAAATTCTACGTATAGGTGATACTTTGTTGATCGGTTTGACTCCAAACAAGCTTTTTTTAAAACCAGATGTTGGGTTGCATTTCCACAAACACGAAAAAATTACACGGAAACATGATTTTGAATTGCATGGTTAAAGAGTTAACAAAGCACTACACAAGAGATACACTTAAATTTTGTCCTTATGGTGGACTGTATACTTGTTTAGCATCTACGCTCACAAACTGTCGTCTGAGAGAAGCGTCGATGATCACTCCCGTCAGTTGTTTACCGTACAGACAACCAGAGTCCAAACCTGTGGCGTGAGGAAGATCCTGCACACTGCGACGCGCATCATGGCCGAAGTACACGTGTTGCGGCCCTGACCACATGGTAGCCCAGCCAACGCCGATGTCACATTTGCTGTTACCACGCACACTGGAGCCCCAGACGTGGTAAGAGTAGATGAGGTTCCTCATGTGACTGAGATCTATGTACTTCTGCCTAGCCAGATCAACGTTCGGGACAACCCCCGCATGGACAACCAGAGCATTTATCTTTGGAATCCTTAGTGTGTACGGCAACTTCAGCAAGAAGTCAAAATCTTCCTCAGAGAAATCATTCAAATATTGATACCTTTCTGGTAAAGAATATTCTTTATCTCTCGTCTTCGACATATATTCCCTAAGGATACTTTCTTCATGATTACCTCTGACTGCAGCCAATTGTCCTTTAGCGGAAAGGTCTCGTAAAAATTGTATAGTTTCTTGGTTTTTGGGTCCCTTATTCAACATGTCACCAACACAAACAATAAAAATGTCCTCAAACCCAGCTCTTCGCTTTGCCTCCGTTACCAAGTCCTTAAATTCGTCACAACATGCATGAATATCTCCGACAATGAGAAAAGGTCGGTCCCCAACTTCCTGTGCATCGATGACCCGATGTGGCTCTGGAGGCAAGGGCACTCCATACTTTGGGATGTTTGGAGGGGGAAATAACCATGAGTAAAACTCTTGTAGCAGCGAGATTGAATTGAAGGTCACAGCAGCCATGGTGAACTGTTCATGAGAAAACAAGAGGAGAAAATAAAGAAGAGAATGGTACAAATATCTACATACTTCAGATAGTGTTGATAAACGATAGATAATGAGCACCAAAACAGACATAACACAAGTATTGGTCAGTACGGGAAGAGTCAGGGGCAACTGTAGCAAAGGTTCAGCTCACTAAACCACTGTCCAAGATTGTATACCCCATACATTGGTCAAAATTCTACTGCTGTATCCCCTTTTTAAGATTTCTGATGCAGTCCCAAGCAGAAATTCTCAGACTGACTGAGCACAAACTGAGTTCGGTAGTAGACACAACGGGCAATTCAGAGAAGGCATCAGGACACAGTATTGAGCGAGTAGGCAGAAAAAAAAAGCTAGCCCGGGCGTGCGATTGGTTAAAAATCACATGGACATTACCATTAAAGATTAAAATTCAAGAAGAATTTCAATTTTTCTTATCTTTTCTCTGCATATTTCCTTTCTGACCGATGTTCTTTTGGGGAGCAAGTGCTCTGCTGGAAAAAAAAAGATGCTGCATCAACTTTTTGCAGGGCCTTAGATGTCATGAAGATTCTAGTATGAACAAAAGCAACATATTCCACACATCTAACACTTGGATCTTCTGACGACCTATTAAATCGGCCCGGCGTCCGACGGGGAACAAGATAATTACTACGCTTATAACAGGGAAAAACTGCCGGTCCCGTCTGTCCTGTTATATCCGAGTTTGACTGTACTCTATAAAAGTTCTCCCCACTCCAGAATTTAAAAAACCCAGGATTGCTTTCTAAAACAGACTGACATCCTGGACAGTGTCCTGATAAAGTGTTTTAAATGGAAGGAAAAATTGGGAATACGGTAGTCAAAACGGGTGATTGTATCGGACAGGTGGTCGTTAGAGCAAGTTCAACTGTATTTTGACACAAGCAGTAGAATTTTTGTTTAACTTAATGGTAAGCATTTAACGGCACCCGCAACACAAATCTATGTTAATAAGTGCCGAAGATTAGAGCCGTTATGGTACATGAGAATAACAAACGTAAAAATTAACAAGACGAGATTATAAGGGTGAAAGAAGTTTGATAGGAAAGAATTAGTAAACCACATCAGAGCACCCGTCAACCATCTGCAGAGCAAAAGTAAAAAGGAAGGTTGTCATAAGGTCAAGAGAGGCAATGAAGTAATGAGACAGACGCGGGGGTGAGGGGGGGGGGATGTGAGGGAGAGTGAGAAAGAGTAAGAGAGAAAGAGATGTATGTACATGTGTGTGTGTGTGTGTGTGTGAGTGTGCGTGTGTGTGTGTCTGTGTGTGAGAGAGAGACAGATAGAGAGAAGGGTTGGGAGAGAGAGACGGGGGGAGGGGGAAGAGGGGCACGGGAACGGGAGAGAAAGGAGGAGATGAAGTTTGTGTATGAGTGAATACCATGTGCGTCTTACAATTTTTTACTTTAACCCCCAAAACGGCGCATTTCCCCCCCCTACAACTCAATGTAGATCATTTAATTTTGAGAGGTGGGCTTCGACCTTGTCTGTGAAGTGTGAGGACCAACCTAGGCAGAGAGGGGTACAACATATCCAGTAGAAAGACGCACACTTGATAAAATTCCCCACTTCGAAACAAAGCGTCTAACCCCAAATATATGTGTGCGTGTGTGTGTGCGTGTGTGTGCATGTGTGTGTAAGTAAGCAGGTGAGAGAGAGAGAGAGAGAGAGATAGAGA